CAAAATCTAGGGAGGAAGTGAATGTCATGGTTTTCCAACATGCCTCTCATGGCTGACATGTACTGTCAATATACTGCTTTTAAATCCATGTTGTCACATTTTGATTTGAAAACCATCATTTTCTAGATAAGTTAAAAAATAAAAGATAGAAAGGACAAGACACCCCAAACTTCTGACGATGTGATCCTCAAGGCCTGTGACCACAAACAAATGGCACTACAGGAAACAATGAGGTAACTGGCAGCATTCACATTCAGAAGGGAGCTCCAATGCATTGAATGCTGCAGGTTGGAACTAGAAGGCCTGGTGTCTTTCTCTCCACAGTGTGCTCTCACCCAGAACCCGACAGTTCTCTCTAGGTGATGAGCGGAAGCTATCTTTTTCCATTACACTGTTCTCAACCCAGCCAAAGAGATATTATTCATAAACAAGTAAAAGTACTCCTATGCCCTTCTCTAAACACATGTAGTGTTAGGAATATTAGAGAAGCTGATCACACCTGTTGGGAACCAGCAGTCTGCTGACCACACCCCCTGATGATGGGCAGGATGCTCATGGCCATGTCTTCTCTACGTCATGACTTACCTGGCTGCTCAAGCTTTACCTGGCTGCCAGAAGACTCATGAGCAAGTTTCCCTTTTAAAGCAAGCATGCCAAGCACACCTCTCTCTCTTGCTCCTTCTTTCTCTCTCTCTCTTGCTCTCTCTATTGCTCTTTCTCTCTCTCTCGTTCTTTCTCCCTTGCTCTTGCTCCTTCTCTCTCTTGTTCTTTCTTTCTCTCTCTCTCTCTCTCCCCTCTATCAATAAACTCCATGTAGGCGCTGAGTCTCATGTTTGTGTTTCTTAGGCAATAGTTGTATCAAAAGAACAACACCCCCAATTATTAGCTTCTCAGGGTCCTAAAGGAGGAGTGGACCAAGGGAGAGAGAATAACAACTCTTGAAATGCCATCTGTAGAGTCACCAGTGCTAACGTGATGGCCATGATTCACAATGAAGTTAGTTTCAATCAGCTATGAAGCCAATTTTGGGATGGTTGGGCATACATGCATACATGCGCGCACACACAGAGCCCAAATATCTCGGAGCAGATCCTTCCCTGGCCACTGTGAGGAAGGCTTGTATGACTCCTGGTCTTCCTGCTGGACATTCTCTTATTTGAAGCTCAACAGATTCCATGGGAAGTCTGCTAGAAATCCTCAAGAGAGAATTATAAGGGAACCCATCACTGTGTGTAGTTATCTTAATTTCCTTTAAGTAACAAAGGTGCTGTGTTCACATTACCTCATTCTCAGAAGCTTAGTCACCCTTAGCCCTCACTGACTTTGGTGGCCACAAGAGAACTTGAGCTTGGACTTGGGACAACCCCAGCTGACTCCAAGTGTCAGCAGGTTGCAGATCACTTAATAATGGCAGTAAGAAGGGTAGAAGTGAAATTAGATTTTTTTCCCTTACTCATATAATTTGAAGATTACAGGGTATGGGTTTTAAAGGTCAGAGTGAATTACTAATTAAGTTGAAGCATTTGAAATTAGCATGTAAAACCTCTACTCATAATGGCGATTAAGGAATAATTAATCATGTAGAGGAAAATGGCTGCCAAGTGGGGACAGCTAAAATTACTTTTTAGCAAGTTACTATGGAGTTTCCAAATGATGTCCCTGGGAAATTGGATAGTCTTAGCTCCATTTGTTTCTGCTGTGTTTGTTGCTGTTGTTGTTTTTAAGCTAAGGGCTATGAAGATATCCCAATTTGTAAAATGTTTGCTGAAGTACTTCATGTGCAAGCAATGGAGACCAGTGTTCAGGCCCTACCTAGAACTCAAGTAAAGTCTGGGCATGGTGGCACATCCTTGAAATCCAGTGCTGTAAAGGTTTCCATGGGCCAGGAAGACCCATGGGGGCTCACTGGCCAATCTGAGCCAAGTTGTGAGAGACACTGTCTCAAAAACAAGGAGGGTGGTACAACTCAAGGTTGTCCTTTGGTTTTCAGGCACAAGAACATGCATCCCCACATGCACATACACACTTAAAAGCAAATGGCATTTAACAAGTTTTCAGGACGGCACAGCCAAAACAGATGTTCACCAATGCTACCAACCTCACAGGTGCTACTAAGCACACAGAGGCAGCTGTGACTGCACCTACAGCAATGGTATCAAAGTTGTAATCTGTAAACCACTTTAATTTACTATAAATGAGACATTTCAACTACCATAATATCATGCCAGATACTCTGAAGGCCAGCATTGGCTCTTCCTTTTAAGAATTTGAAAGCCTTTTGATGCAGAGGCAGGAAACTGTCACTTCTAGCCAAGCCTGAGCTACATAAAGAGACATTGTTTTAAAAAACCAAAATACATAAAGGAACAAATAAAAGTAAAATTTAAAACTTTTGATTTTGTTTGTTGGCTATGTGGTGTTGTCTGATGGTATATCCACCAGTTTTGGATTGTGCCCTTGGTCTGTCCTAGCACAATCAGGATGTCAGCTTCCTGAATGCTGAGATGACAGGTGTGGCCACCACATCTGGCCTTTACACACCAAATTGAAATATCGCACAGTTGATTTACTCACAAATCTTTAGAGAGGATAAACATATTAAGGCAGCACTTACATACAGATTCGTTATTTTAAGCAGTTATTTATTAATGAGCTAATCCACACAACAAACCTATGAGGTAGTTTAACATGCCTTGAATATGAACAAATTCAAAACCAGAAAAGGAGAGGGGGATCCATCCCTACAATAATGTGTTGAACAGACAGACCCTTCTTAGCTTTATTCTTACAAAAGAAAAATAATTCATTGGACAAGCTGATCAAGTGAACAACAGATATTTAGTGTAGAGTGTAGTTACGACCTGGTCAGTCTCTTATTGGGGTTTAGGGTTCTGTATTCCTGCCAACTTGTCAAACAATGTCTCACTTCGCTTTGACAGGAAGGCAGGGAGTTCTACAGGAGTGTCAGGGTTGCACGCGCCTCCTGTTGTTCTTGCCATTTGATATGGTTGGGCTATGTCATCTAAGAGGCCAAGAAAGTTCAAAACCTGCTGGTCTTCCAGTCCAGCAGGAGTGGATGAGTTTTATGGCTACTTTATCAGCAGAAAGAATTGCTGCAGCATTTGCTGCTTAGTGGGTTGCTTTATGAGCATATTTATGAGTTCACTGGGCTGTGGAGACTGTATATAAGGAGAGCTCATTAATTTGGGACTCACTGCTATGGCATTTGTGGCCATTGGCACATGTGCTAACCTCAAGCTTATTTCTGCACTAAGGGGAAAGAGTATTTTGTAAAGCAAATTTGAACCAGGACTAAGATTATGTTATGGGATGAAAAGAGAAAGAGACATTTGACCATAATGACCATCAATGATTGTCCTATTGAATATAGACATCTTGGTTTAATACAGGATTGGTAGATATGTGTTTTCCTCATGTTTATTCCGGAGTGTTCATAATGATGGCAGTATGCGTCTCTTTTCTTTCCAGCAGAATTCATTGGCCATTTGAAAACATTTGCCCTATGTCCAACTCCCATCTACACATAATAAAATTGGAAAGTAACATAAGAGTTAATTTAACATACAGTGAACAACACAGTTTCCCTTGTAGAGGTGTTTCTGTTCTATAGTCCCCAGGACACAAAGGTATTTCTGAGCCTTCCTGCATTAAGTAGTCTGGTCACATGCTCTTCATGGTGTGCTGGAAGGAAATCCCCTTTATCTGCATGGGCACTAATAAAGGTGAGAACAGTCAAACCAACAAAATAGCTTGACAAAGAGCAATGGTATTTCAATGAGGCACTCTGAAATAACCAGATTATTGTAGCTGGAGGTTTATCTATAAAGGGCTTGGCAAAGCTTCACTGTAACACAAAAGGAATCTATGTTCCTAGGCTTTTCTATCTTAGTTCATTAAAATAAATAAATAAATAAATGAACACAACACCACAGGGAAAGAGCTCAGGCACTAAACATAAACAGAAGAAGAAAAAAAAGACTGAAAGGAAAAAACTGAGACTATGCTTATTTTACAGTATACAGTAGAGTTGACAAATAAAGCTTTATTCCACACATTCGAAGAAAAGCCATCACTGGAGGATTGTAGCTCTGTTGTGTGCTTCTTTCCAAAATAGCAAAATAAAATTGTCGTCACCACACCCTTTTTCCCACCTGCAGCATGACTGTACATGGTGTGTGACCTTCCTCTTCGCAGCCACAGTCTGGTCCCTTTGGACTGTGACCTCCTCACACAAGAAAACAGGCACCTTAAGAACAACACTGTGCATTTCCGTGTCGTTTCATTTATTGCTCACTGGCTGCAACCACTATAGCTCTGGGTGGAAAGCAATGATGTCTGGAGAAGTCTGACTTCATTAGATTGGTGGTCACAGGGTGTAAGGGGCTGCCCCAGCCAGCTGAGAGCCCAGGAAAGGAAGTTCTGCTTCTACCTTGTAACGTGTACAAGACACCACTTCCCATCACAATTCAGAGCAATTAACTATGGAGAAGGAATTTAACAGTTGCTCTCGGACTCGATCCCTTCAAAAAGCATCAGTTCTCGGGTCCATTCTCTACCCAGAGACATTCTTTTCAAAGTCTTCGAATCCCAGCTCAGCAACAGGATGCAAGAGAAAAAGAATGATGTTTCTTCAGGATTTAGTCACTCTCCCAACCAAATCATCAGTGTCCCAAATTAAAGCCCACCTACTTCCTAAGGACCACTTCCATCTCACTCTGGGGTGTAAAATTCTCCTTTGGATGCCTTTAGTAGAGCATTACACCAAGGTCAACTGTTGTGACAACATTTTGACTTAGTAGGATCATCATGCAATCAAACTAATTCTTTTCCTAGGCTATAATCTGGCAGCTTACAAGGAGAACTTGGCTTAATCTTAGGAAGCTTTCAATCAAGGTGATCCAGAGTGAAGGTCCTTCCTCTCTGTTCTCACCTATTCTCATACTCCTGGCATTAGAGACAAGGCTGGCTCATCAGTGTGAGAAAGAAGGACCAGTAGTTTGTCCATTATATAACTTCCACAAACCATAATGTGTTCTGTTACTGCAGATGTTGTCACCAATTATGTTCCCCATGATGACAAAAGTGTACTCATTAATGGATCTGGGAGACTTACATGATAGCCATGAGGTGTCTCACAGAATCATGGTAACTCTAAGGAAATCTAGAATAAATAGGAAATTAAAGTTTCCACTCTGTGTAAGTTCTAATAATGCTCCGACTAGCTGCTGTGTGATTGCAGTTTAGAACTTGTGCTAAACATGTTACCAGGAAAGGATTCTTTAAAACTCATCCAAATATAATTTTCCACTAAATTAAATAGGAAAAAGAAATCTTATCTACTTCCAGAAATCAAGATTGGTCATGTGTTAATCTGTGAATCCTTGTAAGAAGTTATTCATTGCTCAAGAAAGGATCCTCTTTTGGTTCGTGAGCAGTTCTCTGCCCCAGAGAAATGCTGGCATCTCTTCTTAGCATTTGATTGATGGTTTCATTACTTATTCTTCAGGCTGCAAGACAGAAAGGAAGACAGTAATACCTCCTTTCATAATTTTACATAATGGCACTCCCCTCTCTCCCTCATTCCCTTCAACCCCATCAAACTCATCAAATTAGGATGAATTTAGATGGTGAATCATTTCAGTGTGTGTGTGTGTGTGTACACAGGTGTGGGGGTATGATAACTTGTGAACCTCTGTGGCACTCAGGATCAACTTCAAGTTATTTCCCTCTACCTTATATATTTGAAGCAGGGTATCTTACTCAACCAGAAACTCACCATTTTTGCTAGATTGACTGCCTGGCAGGCTGTAGGATTTGCGTGTTTCTATCCTACCAGTGTTGTGATTGCAGGCATACACAGCCATGCTTGACATTTATGTAGGTTCTGGGGATTATATGCTTGCACACTAAACACTTTACCTGCTTAGCCATCTTCCCAGGCCCTCTATGGTGATTTTTCTGGAGATTAAATAATCTGTATTATATAATGCTTGGTTTCATAACAAAATGTCATCTTCAACAATAGGTCTTTACCATCAGATTGTGGAGAGCAACCAACAGCCTTAGTAATAGTCTGTAATGTTGAGGGGGTTCTATGGCATGCCTTAGGCCAAATACTCAAGAGGTGATTCACACCTGGCACTGTAACTTGGTCTAGTTGGGGCACTATCCCTACCTACTATTGGATTTAAAGCCAACTATATAAGATGTAACTCATGACCTGATACTGCTAAAATGGACAAGAACTGGAGACCAAATCAATCATGGGCTTTACAGGAGAACCCAATATTATTCTGTCAAACATAGCGATGCAATGAATCCTGATGACTTAGTGCTATTCACACAGATTAGTAACTTACCCAACCTACACCACAGAAGCTTCTTAAAATGGGGGAGAATTAAACAAAGATACCAACAATTGAACAATATGCAGAGAGAGATTTTAGAGCACTTGGTCCTGAATTGGATATCTTTATCAAACCCCTCCCCTCATGGCTCAGGGATCTAAGTGGAAGAGGAGGCAAAAAGATTATAAGAGCCAGAGGTGATGGATGACTCCAGGGAAACAGTGTCTTGTAGACACTCAGTGAGACTATGGCAGCATATGCAAAATCTCTACAGGTTCAAGTCAGAGAGGTTCCCAGGGCTGAAGAGTAGGAATAGACACAGTATCTCAGTCTAAGAAGTCATGTGCAGTTGATACCAGCTATTTTTTTTCCTCAGGTCTTTTCTGACCTTCAGCTCTTAACAATACCTCTGCCTTATCTTCCATGACAGTCCTTGAGCCTTGGGAACAAGGTGTGATATGGATGTCCTATTGGAGGCTGAGTGTTCCACAGTAATTTATTCTGTGAGCTTCTGTATCAACCAACATCTGCTTCATAAGGAAATGTTTCTGATAAAATATGAGAGTTGTACAAAACTACTAGAGATAGAGATCCATGAATTTAGAGGACAGTTTGACATAATGTCCATTTAGTAAAATAATACTAGTAGATTTTACCCTAGGGCCTATGAGCTCCCCAGCCATGGATGCTTGAGCAAATTTGCAGCAGCAGCAGGCATAAGTTTACTCCTGTGGAGTGAACCTTAAATCCTACTAGAAGGCAGTTGGTTACACCTCTAACATCTGTGTGACCATTGCACCTATGGGTGGTATATCTTGTCATGCTGGGTATTACTATAGTAAACAGGGTTTACAATCAAATGTTCAACATCTACACAGTGAGATAGTATCACTCATAACCAAAACCTCATTTTCAAAAAAAAAATGCTGTCATAGAATATTCTTAGGATCCAAGTAAGAATTGGATTGTTGTTAGTGTAATGCAAACCACATGGGATAGGAGATTCCACACTTTCTCTTCTTTTTAATGGCTTTGAAATTTTGCCTTGAAATGACCTTGGAAACCACTATCTTTTAAAAATAATTCTTCTGTAAAGAAAATCCCTATTTAAAAAAAAATATTGCATTGGGTTTTTGCCACCAACAGTTTATGACAAGGAAATTCTATTGCCCTTGTCAATGTCATGAATTAATGTGACATAAAGGCCAAAAGTTCAAACTCAGCAAACAAGTATAATTCATTTCCATAAACTGTGGAAAGGAACACTTTTCAAATGAAAAGGGACCTGGATCACACATCCATGGGTACCAGTGAGGAATCCAAGCACATCTGCAGTAAGCAGTCCTCAATTCCATTTGCATCCTTCTTGGAATTCAGATGAGGGGTGGGGGTGGAGGTTGTTTTACTTTCTAGTGGAAGTGGTATAATAGGGATTTAATCTCATCATGAGGGGAAATATCACTCAGTTCCCTTTATAGTCAGCATAATTATCCAGATCCTCACTGAATGCAGAAAAGTAATGACAAATTAAAGGGTCTTTCAATTCCATATAGCTTTTATAATTATTCTCCTATAGCAGTTATCCTTGCTGGAATGGCTCCTTCATATTTTACATAGCATCCCATTGGACACAAAGAACATGGAAATTTTTGGTGCTATTAATAAATATGGAGCTATCCAGTCTGAGCAGAAAATTCCTTTTTATCTGAGAGATAAGCTGCATAATTCATGTATTTTCAGAAATTTCTTAAAATAGAACACTGAAGGAAAGCAGAGAAAGGATAATTCATGACATTGTTTCTGTTTATGCAGAAGGTTAGTGTTCCAGTTTGCTGTCTGTTGCTGTGATAAACACCATGATAAAAAGTTGGGGAAGAAAGGGTTTAGCCAAGAAAACGCATTCAGATATGACCACAAGCCAATTGGACAGAGGTAACTCTTCAAGTGAAGAGCCCTCTTCCCAGGTTTGTCAGGCTAGCAACCCCAAGTGATCATCACTGATAGTCTCACAGTCTGTCTTCAACTGGATGGAGATGAAGGGCAGAATTTCAATTGCATCCTGCACATATCAGTCACACATTACTCTCAACATGCACAACAGTAAGCAGGATAAGCCTAGGGCCCTTTTTTTCACATTTGCAACCTTTCTGAGAAGACTAGATGTTAACTTGGGATCTTGGAACACCATCAGAAAGAAATGGCATCATTTATAAAAGTTACACACATCAGAAGTTTCCATGCCAGAGAACTGTGGAGCTACACATAGCTCCATGAACTGTAGCTCCTATGGGATGTCATGTCCTAACCATGCCTCAGCATTAGGCAACACAAACTTCTGCTCTTTCTATCCCCTTCCTTTCACTGCATTTCAGTTCCAAAAGATTCAAAGAAGTGGGTCTTGATCCCACCTGAACATCAGACAGACATCTACATGTAGCACCATAAGAACCACTGGAAAACTATTCCACCAGAAATGTACACAGGCCATTTCTTGTGATTAAATAACCATGCATACTTGAAAGGGATTTTTTTACATATTTTTTTCTTTATTTTAAGACAATATTTTCTCATTTTACATACCAATCCCAGTTCCCACTCCTCAGGAAGGCTAAGGCTCCCCATGGGGAGTCGTCAAAGTCTAGCAGGGAAATGGAATGATCCACTTGTTCCATGCTAAATTTCAACTGTTCTATGAGTAAGCTGAAAACCAAAATGAATAATACTGTCTGGATTCATAAAGCTGCATTCTGACAGTCAGACTACAAGTAAACAGTGACAAAAATGCCACCATGGTTTCTATGAAATGACGCAGGCAGAGTGCTGAACAAAGGAAGAGGTGTGTTCTTAGGTTTGTGTACTATAGAGTCATGCTTTTAACTTACTTGACTGTCCTAGCTGTCAAATAAGGTCTGGGACAGTGTGAATTCAAGGCCAGCCAAATCAACTTAGTGAGACCCCCTCAAGACAAAAACTAAGAAAGCAAATATAGCTCAGCACCACAGCACTTGCCTAACATGCTATGCTTTGGCTTCTACCCCGGCACCAAAACCTACTCAACCTGTGTTCCCAAAAGTAGATGGCAGCCAAAGACTTAACACGTTCGCTCAACTTTCTCAGCACAATGAAAATTAAGTTCAAGTATATTCCTCAGGGGAACACTTGTTGTTCCTATTCCTGCCTTCCTGCATTCCTCTTCCAAAGACAGACTCAGGACTTTCTGCGTAGAAATTGGCCCAGCCTTTTTACTTGTCCAGATGCATGCAGATCCTTAAGGAAACCACACCTTCCCCAGATAATCATTGCCTGGATTTACCCTGACACAACCAAATATAACTATTTTAAACAGCCACTTAGGAATAGAGAAGAAAGCCTTAAGAAAATGGCCAAGCTTTAGGAAGTGATAAGCAATTTCTGTGCTTATGAGAGGGGGTCGGATGCCAAGGGATTACATTAGACACACTTTCTGAGAAAGGTAGCTGTCAGAGAATGAAGGGCTCAGGGAATAGTGGGGAGTGGAGAAAGAGAAAATGGGGGAAGTGGGGACAGAAAGATGATTGGAATTCTGTGTAGTCTGGCAGGTAGAGGGAGTGGAGTGAAGACATGGTCAACTGTATGAGGGAGGAAGTAGGATGCAGAAAAACACAGAGGTGTGAATTACAAGTGCAGCCAGGCCTTTGGATGCTGCAGAGCAGGACAATGCTGACTCAAAACACCCAAAGGCAGATGGGGTTCAGTTAACATTGGATAAGCACAAGGTGAACATATTCAAATCTATCCTGGCAAAATAAATCTCATATTTATAGCCCATGGGACAGAGAAGTAATTTGCCAAAATTCAGCCCAAAGTATAGGATATTACAAAGAATTTGGATATGCCACTTTCTAATACATGCAGACTTGCACAATTGACCAAAAAAAAAAAAAAATTTGTAATTAACTTACCAAAGCACCTTAAAAAAAAAAAAAAAAAACCCAAGCCTCCTTTGTTTATATGTAAATGAATGCTCCTGGTGCATTTTAGAACAGTTTATTCCCTTAAGAAGCCAAACATTCTCTTTATAATCTTGTTTACACTATTCATTTGCTTTGCAAAACATTTTTTCCCCACTAAATCTCAAAATAATAAAAAGTTAGAGCTAGAGGGACCACTGGGATTATCAT